CTTTTGATAAAGAAGCTTGTTTGTTATAATGCAATTTTAAGAATTTTAAATAATCAAGTTTTCAATAATCAAGTGCTTGATACGGCGCCATCTCTTTAATACTACTGAAAGTCAAACCAGACCAGATCGATGAAACAGAAAAGAAGTCGGTAACCTCGGAAACAAGATGAGAATATTTCTATTTCGTTCATATTGCGGAAACATATAATAAAACTGTACATATAGGCAGGGGTGGCGAAAAAGTGCGATGAAAGAGAGTGACACCACTAGAAACACGAAAAGCTATTTTTTCGGACGGAAAGTAAGTGGTTTCATAAATTTCTGCCAGCCCAGCATAAACAAAGGATCAAAAGGGAATTGTATTAGTCAAATAGAGTGGCTCAGAAATGTCAATCCCCATTTCGAATTTGAATAAAATCATCGAATTTAATCTACAAAAATGTATAGTGAACAATACTTTCTTTATGTATTTCAGACAAGTAATTTCTTAACATCTTTCTTGTAATGAGATATAACATCTCTCTTTCTCTCTCTCTCTCTAATTTAAAATAGGAAAAACATTGTATTTTTTTATTCAGTTTTTTTCGGTGTATTGATTGCACTTGTTTTTTAATTTTAACTAAATTTGATATAAATATAGTATATGTATATCAATATGATATGCGAGTTCGACAATCTCATATGTGTAATACTAAACATATAACAAAAAAATAGAATAAATTATATATCAGAAGAAATATAATTTATAACAAAAAGAAAATCAAACATTAAAAAAACGAATTGAATCCATTGTACTGGAATTACAATTAAGGTAGATGAATGACTATAACGAGCAATCAACATAAACTTGTCGTCGGTCATAAACTAGAACGTTTACATATCACCGGAGCGATCCGCCGACTTCGCATACGCATACGCGAGCCTAAACATAGGAAGTTGATATAGAAGTCTATTCTTGTAAAACAAATAATCCCTGCAGATCCGTAGCACATATCTGTCTGCGTATCAGAAAGTTTCGTAAAGAATCGAAAAATAAGATGGATAAAAAAAATGTAAAAAGTTCTAATTTATATCTACTTATTTCTTCATTATTTTTTTAATTTGATTAATTTTGCATTTTAAAGCATTATTACAGCATCTATAATTTTTGTCTGCAGTTTCTATGTTAATTCATTTATTATTGTTGAGTAATAGAGTCTAAGTTCGAAATGCAATGTCGAGATATAGTTAATCAAAGTATAAAAACGCTCATATTTAAAGAAATTGGTTTATCGGAAAGAAACGTACTATTATTTACGAATACAAGAGATATCTAACCAAATCCAGTTTAAAATTTAGAAAACTGCTTGCTAACGTATAAAAAAAATGATTATTCTGAGTATGTCAAAGAATTTTATAAAGAAGATAATTTGTTTATATTAGACATTTAAGGAAAAAATCGTAGATCAATACGATTACTTTCTAGAGCAAACTAGAATTGCAAAATTTTGCGAAATAAATTATATCAAAATATAGATTTTTTTGAATAAAGTAACATTTGTAAATAAAAGTTTAACAATTTTTAAAAACGCACACAGACATACGTGTAAAGATAACAAAATATTGAAGAAAAAATGCAGAATTTGCGCCCGACGGTAAAGCATGAGAATAGATCTGTCACAATATAAAGTTCCACGTTAATAATATCAGAAATCTTGTGCATCGTGAAATTTTAATAAAATAGAAATATTTTTGTTTTAAAAAATAACTTCAAAACAAATGCAAAAAAAATTACTTTAAAATCTTCGATTTAACATATTCCACTTATTAATAGTTTTAAATGCGTTCAAACGTTTTCATGAAGATCTAGACAACCATTTCCAAGTTCGAAGAGATGAAGAGATAGGAAAAAATAAATAACTAAGGTTAATAACAAAAACAAAGCATGCTGTTTGAAGACAAGATCAATATAGCGTAAAGTCCGTTTCATTCGTCTAACTCTTTCATGTCGAAAAGATAATTAACTTCCTCTAATAAGAGAGTCTCTGAGGGACCATCAAAGAAAACATAAACTATCTTTCAACAACCACGAGAGAATTCACAGTTTCAAAAATTATTCACGAAGTTATTGTACTTTGAATCGGCGAAAAAATCATTATAATTTAATATGGTAACTCATGTGCGTTTCACTTCAACATAAAATAAAATAGAAACAGAAAATATTATATTTACTAAATATTAAAAAAATCAGTCATGTTTCAGACTGTCATAATATTTAATAACAAAAATTGAAATATTCAAGAAATGATAGCTTTTTGTTCGGGAAGAATCAAAGATCATCATAAGTTTGTAGTCTCTCCGTGGGTTCTTGAATACTTTGTATAAACAAAAAAATAATTAAAGGTAGCAAGAAAAGGAGAGAAAAAAATATCATACGCGAAGCATGAGAAGTAAAAAGTCTACAAAAAGCAGCCTCCTGCCAAGCAGAAGATGCGGGAGTTGGGCGATGCAGAGCTATATTGTATAGCTGCAACATCAAGTATCAACAATATTGCTCGCGGTCTCGGTCTTTTTGACATGTGAAAAATAAGACGAGGACGCGACGGTATCCGCAGAAAGCTTCTGACGAGGTTTCGTTCTTCGACCGGCGAGTTCGTTGCAGAAAGAGTCTTGGAATTCAAAATGGCTGTTGCGGGATCGCGAGCCACTATGCGTGGGCAAGTCGGCAACACCAACACGCGCTCGTAACACGTGTGTGTCGCTGAAGAGCGTCGTCTTGAGACCATGATAATTTTCGAACTCGAGAAAATAAAAAAACCAAGGATATATTTTTTCTTTTTTACTCCTAACATAAAAATTAACTCTCAAACTAGAGTTTTTGTTCCATTTATTTTTAAAAAATCTTATACGAATATTTTACTTGCTTCTAAATACTTAACTTTTTTGGAAATTTTTATATAAATTAATTTATAAATCTAAAATTTCTTTTGTATTATAAATAAAAACATAAATTTTTAGACTTATATTGATTGTCATATGATAAATTATATCCCACTTTAACATTTTTTCATATATAAACTAATCATAAACTATGTTACGATACTTGAGAAAACTTATAAATAACAATGACGACTGAAAGTAATAAAAGATTTGAAAATTGAAGATATGAAAACTATCGGCTCGAAAGCGGCCATGCCGCGCTCACGCCATCGTCCGACGGCAGCCATGCTCTTCGAGATTCTCCTCCTCTCGGCCATCATGTTCCGAAGACTGATCAGAACCGAGGGAGAATTCAAATCTCCATAATATGCAGAGCGATTCGACAATCGAAACATATATCATAGGATGAACAAGAAAGAAAACAACCTAAGTCGTAAGCATTGTACTATGATTTATTGCACATAGTGCAATGAATTAAATTGTCATAAATATATTTATCGCGGAAAGATCGTGTACTCACATGGATGTATCACAAGATGTACCTAGTTTTCTCGTGTGAACAGAAATTCAACGCGCCATAACCGCCTACCCATTTGACCACCCCGAGAATACAAGACTCTCCTTCTCTCTCTCTCTTTCTCTGTTTCTCTAGTTATCTCTTTTCTCCCTCTTTTTCCTCGCGTATCTCTTCGCGTCTTTCTCCATCCCATTTTTATTCAAATTCATTGGGAAGCTCCTCCGCGCACGAATACTCCCAGCCCGCCCGTTACCGGCATGCTCTGCCTCTCCACCCGTTCGCCGCTCGTTCTTTTTTCTCCCCCTGGTTTTCCATAAATTCTGAATTTTATTTAGTTCGCTCCGCCGTGCCGCCGTTTCTCGTCTTTATCCGTGTTTATACGCGCTGTAGTCGTGCCAAAGTGTACGAGAAATCCCGTTCGTTGTACTACGAGAAGGTATCGCGTACATGGTAAAATCCGAAACAAATCGTTGTACAAGATGATTATCGTGCAATATTTCTCGAATTTACGAATATAAAAATATGCAACTGAGGAGAGTACCGTTTAATGACGAATTATCTTATTTTAAAACAAGTTATTTGCGGCAAATAATTGAAATAGATTTTATTTTTGTCAAAACTTCTTAACTGTCATATTTAATTAGCCTGTTATCTACGCTTTACGTTAAAACTCTATAAAATAAAGCGTCTGCCACATATGAGTAGCGTTAGAAAAGTAAAGAACACAGAGATAATCGTAGAGAAAAACAAAACAACGCTGAATACGCACGTCATTGGAAAAAAGGAAAACAAGAGAATCAAATTGCAAATGTTGATTATTCATGTGCGACTTCCTTTCTGCAGTGCTATCGTTTAAGTAGACTGTCTTACCACGGTAAGATTATTGAAATTCTATTGTTAAAATTATGAATATAATTCTCATTAGATTATTCTCTCATTTTCATAATCCTCATACGAGTAAACGCATAATATTAAAATAGTTACCGCATTATAACGCGGTAAGAGAACGCTAGACAATTATATAATAATTGGAAATCTTAATTAAATATTTTTATAAAGGGATAATAGCATAATTATCAAAAAGCAAAAGCGCAAATCAATTTCATGCAAAAATGTATGTTCCAATCGTTTTGCTAATTTTGCAATGTCAATGGCTATTTTTATATTTAACGTTCGATTTTTTATATAAAGAACGGATACTATTGTGTCAAATTCTACGCATTACTATTTGTGATAACAACTAAATAATAAAATATTTTATAAATTCAAAAAGTTATTTTCTTTTCTTGTCTCAATATCAATTAAATATCAATTAAAAATTTAATATATTCAACGCAAGCGTTTTGATACTTACAGCAAAATTAATAACGCAATAAACAGCGTGAGTGCCACTAAAAGTTTTATATAGTTTAACAAAGTCGAAATAACAAAACAATTTGGAGAATTTTATTAAGTCTTTCTTTCCGCGTATCGTAAAATTTGTGTTGACACGCTGTCTTCGGGGGCAGTTTATCGGCCCATAGAGATCATTCTAATGTAATTGGAAAATGACATTTCTACTCACCTTGCGGCTATAATAATAATGACGCAGAAGTCGCTGCGGGACGACGACAGTCTGACGTCGTCGTGCGTCGCGGCGGCAGAAGGGCGTAGGGAGGGGATGCTGCTGCCCTTTTCCCTTCCAAGGGTCTCTGTGACCCGAGTAGCTACTCCATACCGATCCGCTTTTCAACTGCTGAAACAGCCAATACACATTGGACCCGCGTTTAATACAGCTGATTAAAAACAGGGACATCAGGTATGCTATTTTTACGAAATTTCACGCGCATTGTTCTATCGAAATCGACAGTCTTCGACACATTTTATAAAAATGTCTATAGAATTCTAATGTAATATTGGAATGGGGATCATAACGTCACTGATATTTCTGTTAAATTTGTTCTTGGTAGACGCGAATCACAAATCTTGCACCAATGTTTCCTTCAGGCAATGCTCTCTTTCGCAGTTATTTTAACAGAACACTGTCACAAACTCGACGCGTTGAGACATATAAGCGTGGATATACATTAATATCAAGTCACAGCCTCTTATGAAGTACAGTTGAAAGGATTCTCAAAATTCGTCATTCTCTCTTTTTCTTCATCCGGGAACAAAACAAGATGATGATGCATGCTCACGTTAAACCCCAAACGCACAATGAGTTTTCAGTGCTTATTCTGTGTCGAAGCACAAAAAAAAACAGCTGACAGAGTAATGACGACAAGGACAGCAACAACAGAGCGTTCGCCAGATATCGCCAGGTGTTCAGGTCGCGCCGACTCGCCGCGCGGAGAACGCGTCACGTCGTCGATATTTCGACTGCGCCTACGAGCCGCGAGGCGACGTTTGGTGAACGGTAACGGAACGGAAATATACACCGCGAGCTGAACGAGTTAGCTCGCTGCCAAAGCTCGTGGCAGCTCCACTAGCGCGACAGACGCATGCAGCCAGACCAGAGAGACCGTAGGTACCAGCCAACGGGATTTACTATGCTCGAACTGTACCGGCCTCTCTCTCGCTCTCTCTTCCTCTGTTTCTCTTTCTTTCTCTCTTCTCCACTTTTTCTCCTTCTCTCTTTCCCGCACGGTTAAAGCGGCAGAGCAAGGCGCAGCAAGACGAGTTGTTGCGAGCGACACGTAACAACGACCGCCTCTCTTTGCCTCGCACACTGCCGTCGCGAAACCGTAGGATGGAGTCAGGTCGAAGCAGGCCAATCAGGCGCCCACCGTATCTACCTGCGGACTGCCTTCTGTGTAGCACCTGCAGGCAATATGCCTCGACTTTATACTTTGTAAAATGCCGGTTTGCGTCGATGACAGATCGTCCGACTCGCCTCTAATCCCTTTTCCTCCTTCGCCGCTTTTGCGTTCCTCTCGTCTGCGTTCCTTGCGCGTCTCCCGGTTAGCGTGTATGCGAAATGAGTACTCGCTTGCTTAAGATTCTCTCGCATGTCGCGCGCGGCTGCCAAGTCGATCTATCAGCGATACATCAACGAGACGTTTTTCGACGCGTATTGATAGCGCACAGTTGGATGCAATTGTTCTAAGAAATGATACGTGTCGAAACTGACGCGCGGTATCAGGTGCCTTTTTGGATCTAGATACACGGCATCAATCAGAATCTGACATAGTCGCGCGAGAAGACAGAAACGACAAAACACATCGTGAACGCAATTTGTCGACGCAAAAATCGCGTCTCGAAATTGCAGGACAGCGGTTACTGTGCAAAACGGAGCACCGCAGATTGAGTCACTAGCTGGTCTTATTTCGGTTGCCTGTTATTGGCTCTTAACGCTCTCTCGCAAGTACGAAACAAAGGTCCACTATTGATTGAACTTGCTAGTCTCTCGGAAACGTTCAACGCTCATCTATACATCGCTCGCGCTGAAAGTGCCATTGCCGCGCTTTCTCGCAGCGAACTGTCGAGAAACCTGTCATTACCTCCTATACTTTTATCATCGCTATTCTCCTCTACTTGGTATCGTGAAGAGTCCGACGAAGTACACGATTGCCTAACATCGCTTGTGAAAATTTCAAAGAATATTTATTCCAAGTGCACACTCGGCAACTCAACAAATTTAGAATTTGGCTCCAAATAATTGTTTAGCAAAGATTTATCGAGCAATATGAACATTCGACACTTTTTATTTGACACGCCGCTGCTGTGTATATTGTATAAGTTTTTTTTCAACAGACTTTACTGCAATTTGCAATAAAAACATTTGCAAGTATTTATTATATTTATATTTATTCGATCAATGAACTCTCACGTCGTGAAACTAATATAACAACTTAAAAACTTAAAAACCGCTTTTCTCGCGAATATTAAGTCGCGACGACTCATCTTCATCGACTGTTCAAAACGGGCGATAAAATCGTCAAGTATCTTTATCACTTTCGGCTGTGCGGCTTTCACGGGGACTTTAAGAACTTTTAATTAAAATACTTCGGGCAACAAGCGTGCGTCGTGAAAGACCGGCGAGCGTGAATTCTAAAATAGCGACGGCGTGGAAGGAGCGGATTTCGATGTTGATGTCCGCGATTGGTTAACTCGGGCCATTTCGAGATTTCAGGTCCAGCCCACGATATCTTAATAGATTGCCTTCCACTTGAATCGCGCCATGGCCGTCCACTTGCCCGTAGGAATCGTGTTCCGTTTTCAACGACCATCTTATGCCAACGATTGTAACTCACAACGCGGCCCGCAATATTTTTATTACTACTAATACGTATCTAATCCGAATTCTGAACGGTTTTGATCGTAAAAAGCGAAAATTCGCGAATGGCCTTATAATTAAGATTCAAAATTATCAACTTTATCTTGCACACATAAGAAGCATTTATTTTACTCACAGTATCCACATTTTATATCACATCGTTACACTACGATATTATTTATTTCATTGCAGTATCACAATTACGAACCCGAAATTCAGAGCACAACGAAGACGAAACAAAAAAATTTCCTGCACAAGCAAAGAATGATGACGCATTTCTAGTTGAGTGTATATAGCGTGTTTTATGTTTATTATTTTATAGCGATGTAATCTGTAGGCAGTTAGAGTTAAATAGGCGGCCACCGCGTTTAAATAATAACGTTCGATGGGTTTGTAAAGTCATAATTTATCGTTGATCACGTTCGTCAAAAAGACCGTCAGAAGGCAAAGCTCAAGCCTATGGGATAATAAATTTACAACCTCGAAAACTAAGGCATAAAAACTTATAGCGTATCTATAGTAGATATTCATAAGAATATATACAACTATCATTGTATTCTCGAAAAAGGTCGGATCGAGCAACGAACTACTTCGCACTAGAAACTTTCATTATGGAAATATAATGTATGTTCGTTGTAACAATTTAATGAACTGAGACCCAGAGAAAATTTATTATCTTCACAAATTATGGCTCAGTCCTAAAAAAAACTAAGAGCGTAGTATTTTTAAATTGTTTCGCTCGTGATTTTTTACGTGCAATGTGTAACACGCCGGAACTAGGTTGATCCGCGACTGTTGCGTGCGTTTATCGTTTCTTCAAGCAGCCATAATAGTGCATAGATACACGTACGATAAGATCGTTAGTTGCTTAACTTAAGTAATGAATGTTATAAGAACGGCTAATAAAATCGGCAAAACCGCTTCACTAATTAAAGTATTTACGACTAACTTTGTCGCGGAAGATATTCTCTTCAACCAAACGGAAAGCACATAAATTTCTATACCAACATTTTAAATAAACTTGATTAATTCAAGAGAACACTGGTGATAAAGTTTCTTAATTTTGTATTCAGAATTTGATAATATTTTACATTGCTGTGATAGAAACGAAGAGCATCTTCGCACATTAATTTGTAAATTTTAACTTAAAATAATATTACTAATAAGATGCTATTTTATGTATATCAAATATTCGCGTTTTATATTGTTGATTTTCCACTTTTGTAAGTAAAAAGCATCAACTATTCTATTGTTCAGAATATCAAGTAAACCGCCGCTTTAATGCCTCACAGATGCATGCATAATAAGTTGATTGATCTGGGACTCAACTGTCACATGTTATAAAAAGTGCCAATAAAATCGTCAAGGTCATTTCACTCATTAAAGTATTTACGATTGCAATTGTTACGGGATATCGGTCACAATTATCACCTATTTAACTTCACGTCGGACGATTTGTCTTCGACATAGCGCAATGCTTTACAGCTTGGTCCAGTCACTCCGATAGAAGAAAAGCGAAGACGGGGGAGAACATAAGAGCTCATAAATGCGAATTTAAGAGACGCAATAAAAACACATTGAAATCGAGAGTGAACGAGCGGAAGCACGTGCTTCGACGGCTGTGGGATTTTGTTCAGCATATCATTGTTCATTTGCTGACGCCTTCGTGAAAAGCTTAGATCTGAATCAGAAGCTCCGCTCTTCTGATCTTTTTAAGTTTGTCTTCCTTTATAGATTACTTCTAATTTTAATTAGAATGTTTTGGTCAGTATTTATTTGCTTTATCCTTTAGATTGTATAAGTTAGAACTATAAGAATTATACAATTCGTTTAACAAATTCAATATGTTAACAAAATTATATCGTTGCAAATTACATGTTAATATTATTAATGTATATGCTTGATTTAAATACATAATATTTAAACTAAAGAAATAGTTGCAAAGTGAATGTAATTATGTTAATAACTTTTTTCTCGGTGCATGAATAATTAAATAAGAAAGAATTTTTTTACTATGCAATATTTTACGTAGATACATACTTTGCGTAAATTATTAATTTATATAGTATTATGTATATGTAATGCAACTGTATCTATATTTTTCTGAAAATTAACGCAGCTGATCACAAATTAATGATAAAAGTTGTTTGTTACTTTTTCCATCTTACATAATTTTTAATTCTACATAACCCATTTAAAAAATTCAACATTTTAAGGTATTCCAGGTTTCATCAATAGATATAATGTCCTTCGACTGATGTATCTTCGCTTTCTACGTCCTCTAACATAATATTTAAAAAAAAGAGTTAAAAAAAATTTACGTTTCCAAGTCTACTTATTTCTCTAAGATAATGTTTCTCCTTGAATTTGTCACGATACAATTTTTTCTACTGCCTGTAAATGACGAAATGATTCAAAGTATAAGAAGGTTCCGACGAAAGGTCAAAGCTCCCATAAACCGTTTATTGGTGCCTGCAAAA